CTCTTTTTTACTCCTCGTCTTTTTTATATTGCAAGATATTTAAAGATTCTCTTAGCGTTGCAGCGCTAATCTTTGCTTGCCAGTTTAACTATAATATTGATAGAGATTGCATGATCAGATTTTACGATCTTCTTACAGCACAAAAATGCTAGAAAATCGTCATTTGTAACATAATTTTCTTTAATCGTTATGTATCCCTTTCTTACATACTCGCCTATCTCAATGTATTTCTATAATTATTTTTTAATATTAATCTAATTGCCGAGGAGTATGTAATTCAATCGTGTAAGGCAAAATTTCTTTGTCATTGTTTTTGTTATTCTGTTTCTTTTCCATTTTCAGTGCGGTATAAATATCTTTCTATCCTCGGAATGTGCAGTTTTCCCGCGCAAAATTCCTGTCCATCAATCAGTGTCTTGTTTTGATCTGATTCTTTGTTATTCCGAAATTCCAAGATTCCACAAATTCAAGATTCTCTGAAATGATCATAGAGTGAGCAATATATGAGTATGAAAACCGGTCTTCCGTATGGTGATTCTCGGGTGATGCTGCAGATTGCTAGTGGCGCGAATGCATAAAGCTTGAGTATGTAAAGTGCGAGTACTTAAGTCGCGACTGTGCGTTGCACTTCCATGTGTTTCCGGATTTTGCGATTGCGTTCTCGAAAAATTTCTCTCTGTGACAATAAAATCTACGAATACTCTGCGAGTTCGATGATCTCGATGAGTCGCGAATCGATGTCTCGGAAGGATGAGACATCACAGATTTTATGCTCTTGACCGGATCGAAGGATTCCAATTTGGAAGAACGGGTCGCATTAACGAAGAGGATTTGTGTTCTACACACCGAGAGATCAAACTCGTGAGATCCAATCGTAGATCCGTAAGAGCTCGATCAGATCGCTCAAGCGAGACCGATGCTTCAACCTTCAACTAGCAGCATCCATTGTTCGGATTTGTGTGATGATCAAGCCTCATTGCATGTCTGGTATTTATGATTGCAAGCTTTGCAAGCCAATTTCAGATTGACATAAATAATATTGTAAGTTGCATAAATTTTACAACGCTCTATATAAATTTTCAAATGTCACATACGAGATCTGGCGAGAAACGATACTGCACTATTAATATATACAAGATTTTTTTCCGCAATTAAAAAGATTATGCGATTGTCTAGATTACTTCATCTTTTCTCATTCCAGAAGCTTACATGATCGGGCGCGCTAATTTGTGTGAGATTTGTGTGTGATTTTGCCAATTTTATCTGAAAACGATGGATAGAACTAACATTTTCATTAACGTTGTATTTTTGCAAAATTTAACAAAACTGCGACTGAAATTCACGATATATTGAAAAACTATTTATAGCGGTCATAAAATTTTATTTGCGATGCTATAAAACCCATATATACTTCGACGATGTGTAGGACATAAAGAAACGTGCAAGAACGAACATTCTAAAGTAAAAGTTTCAAAAATGTTTTGAAGCATGGGAGAAAAGTATATAGGAAAGTACATTCATTAGAGCGAAGGAGGATTACTTTCCTCTTCTTTAATTCTTTAATTTTTCAATAATAAAAGTTTATGTAAACTTATTATTTTCCTTCCTGTTGCCAGATCTCGCAATCAGATAACGATTTGCTTATAGATGACAATAATACATGATTCAACAATTAATTTTCTCGTATTTACATCTCTTGGATGATTAGTTGAAAGTTGAAGCACGTGGGAATCCGATTTCGTACAATCTAACAAATCGTCGCGTATATTTTCGTCATGAGAATCTCAAGCTCCGGAAAACTACCGGTCATTAGAATCGTCATTGTTTGCGTGATATCGCGAAAACCGCGAGTATCGACATTAATCCCGGCTCTTTTCCGCTCGCCGTCCGACGAAGTTTGGGGCGGCTAACAGTTCGCGCGCGCGAACGTACAGCGGTCTCCTCGAGACGCGGACGCGAAAAATGAAAAAGGAAAATGAAATGCGCCGGGCAAAAAGAGGATGCCGCGAGAAAGTACTGGTCGACGTAAATCCGCGCTTTTTCCGAACACGTGCGAGTTTGACAACAAACTTGCGGGGAGTTTTCGACGGCGCACAGTGACGTATCTCCGGTCCGGCGGTTCCCTGGAAACGCGCATCGCGCGAATCCGACCGCGGGAGAAAAGTATTTCGTCTCTTTCGCGACTTCTCGTCAAAGCGAGCGACGCGCGGCCGCGCGTGTTTTAACGCCGCTTTCGCCGCTTTTACGCTTGTTGCCGAAGTAAGAGGTAGACGATAGTGGGTCGAAAAGCGAGTTCGATTATTTGATTTTAGTCGCGCGACGTGGGAAACTTGTCTATCGTTTTGTACTCTGTTGTTGTTTGCCGCTTGTAGATGGTTGTATGCCTACCTCGATCTCTTTCGCGAGCAGAATTGTTTACAATCGTAAGAGCGCTTGTCTCGGCTCGGCAATTAATTATACGCGTCTGATGGAGCGCTTTTGTTAATTGCTTATTTAGCGCTGATACCGATAGCGATTCTGACGATTGATACTCGACCATCTAAGTAAGTGAAATCCCTCTATCGTATTCCATATCGATTCGAATTTTCTCTCCGAGATTTTCTAAGGTCGCGCGGTGCTGTCGGGATATTCGTTTCACGTAGAAGCTCTTTCGAACGCAAATTGAGCGGGAGGATTCTCCTATTTCGCATGCGGCGCGCTTGTATTTCCCCCTTAAACAATTTTATTATTTTTATCGTTATTGTATTATTGTTAATGTAATTACGCCGAGAGTGATTTATCGAGCGCGCCGTAGGTGCTTTTTTTAACGAGATGCAATTTACAATCAAAGCCATCGCATATGTGCGAATGACGTTGAAGAGGAGCGCGCTCATTCCGGGTCACGTCGCACGCCTACACGTGTATTGTGTGCCGCCTTTTGTATTAATTACGTTTTAATTATAAAATAAACGCACCAGCGCGCATGCACTATATAAACTCGTTTCAATTGAGACGATTTGTGTCGCGTGCAGGCAACTAGAGCAACGTACAGAAATTCGAGGGTCATCCATTGCGTTAGAACTGTAGACGAAACAGGCTTATCTATGTACGTTAAATAGTGTATTTTATTGACGTGGAGAGGAAGAGGGAGAATGAGTAGGGAAAGGGATTCGCAATCAGTGTATGAACTAATTGAAAATGTATTTGCAATTTTGTGAAATGCAGTTCGCAATTATTGACCTAATTAAAAATCGTACATTTATACAGAAGAGAACAAAGTGAAAAGCTCGCTCGGTAACGTGTTTTCTCGACAAGTTTACGAATCGCTGTAATTTAGCGAAATGATTAATAGAGACGAGTGATTCTCGGATAGTTGTCTTCTAACTAACTTTCCAAGGACCGAACGTGGCGCATTGTCGGTCAGCGATTAAAAACTACGCAGGATACACTTAATTAATCTTCTAAGAAAATCACAAAGTTCCTTTGTTGCCATTTCATCCGTTAGAGTCGCGTGGGTGCCTCGGTGCGATTGATATAGCTTTCGAATTCGCGTATCGATACCGCAAAGTGTCATGTAGTATCGACTCGGAAAATTTTTCGCGCGACGCCATAGAAAGTGTGCAAATTAGCCGTGGCCGCCGCCACACTTTCTTTCCCTTTTTCTCAGTTACCCCTTTTTACGAAGCGCGAAATTATTCATAGCCAAACACTCGATCACACATCGATGAAGCAGCCGCCGACGCTGCCGCAGCGAGGGTGAATCGCCCGAAGTGCGATTCGATAATTATTGCGGATTCGACCGGATGAATAATTAACGCGCGTGCCATCTCGAGAACAGCGCGTATCCGATGATCCGACGATAATGCCAGCTTGGCGCATAATGCAGCTTGCAATCTTTCCAAAATCGTATTTCCGATACGGAATTGTTTTAATCCCGTTCTATCCGAAAGACATTTGTCTGCCAAAATCCACATAAAGTTCCAATTATAATTTATTTTAGGTTTCGAATGTCATCTAATTAAAATTTCATCTCGCAAATGTACATAAAAATCTTTACTCACATAAATATACCTAAATATTTTCATTATGCAATATTATATGTAATATAATGTAATATTTTTATATATAATTATATAATATTAGTAATTAGTATATAATATTAGTAATTATATTATTATATAATTTTTTCTTATTTATCTATCTCTGAGGTATTATGAAACTCAAAAGTTCAAAGCTATAAAAATTATATTTTGTCATCAATCTCTGTTTTGTGCTAAATCCATTGTAATATTTTCCCTGTTTTTTTCCTGATCTATTGAATGGTTTCTTCTGAGTTTGAAACTAGTTTTCATCCAGTCAAGACCTGAATGGTCTTGAAAATCTCCTCGGTCTCTTTTCTACATGACCTGCCTACCTCAATCTGCATGATTTAATTGCTCTAATAATATCAGGAAACGCATACAATTCATTATGCCGTTCTCTAGTTTTTTCGTCTACAATTTCTACAGCACCATATATTTTTTTTTTAATTTTACTTTTTGTTTTTATATTTTAATTTTTTCTTGAAAATTAAAAATATTTGTCACATTTGTAATAAAATGGATTGTCCGACAATTACATGAATAATGAAGAGTTCTTAAAACTTCTGTCTTATTCATGATCTCGCCTCAATCTCGTCGAAATTTATTGAATAAAATTAGTCTAAGGTGGAAATTGCAATGACAATTGGTGTAATTTTATCGTTTCCCATATTTCGCGAATATAAATTATAAAAATCTTTTAATATTCCGACTTTATATGTATATATATCGGCACAAGCGCATGGTGTCGTAGATTCTCCGAAATTTTTAGCTACGAGAAAAGATGAGAATCACTTTTCTTGGAAAAAGCTTTGGCTCTTTTTTCTAGATGGAATTTTAGACGGAAACATCGTGTCGTTTATTCTTCTCTTTTTCCTTTCTTTATCCTCTCCTTGCTTAGGAAATTTTTAGACTCTAACTCCCCATGTTTTTGAATAACAGGAGCACGGCACGGCGCGAAACAGCAAAGGGGGGACAAAGAGAATTTCTTCGAAATACGTGCACAATACGCGTGTGTGTGCATGGAAGACAAGGACTGTATCACGAGAACGTCGCACGAGAGAGAACGAGGCGGGACAAGGTGGCGGCTCCGCTAAGTCACACCAGCTTCCGGCATCATCGGCGGAAGAAAAATGTCGAGTATCGGGGATAGCCCCGACAGAATGGCACTGCCGCATTATTCCCTACGATGGCACAATCATCAGGCCCACATCCAGCAGTCGTTCGAGGCGTTGCTGCAAGCGGAGATGCTAGTCGACGTAACGTTAGTCTGCGCCGACGGCAGCTTCAAGGCACACAAGGTCGTCCTTAGCGCTTGCAGGTAAGTCTACAAAGAGGAACAAGTGAATTTTTATTTTATCCGAAGAATTTTACGCAAAATTCGATTTTAACTGGCTTTATTCCACTATTCCTGAACTTTGCATTCTCTGTATCTATTTAAAATGGCTGACGATCGCCAATCTAACGATTTTTTCGCAAAAGATCCGTGTGACCAAAGGAGAAAGTCTTTAATTCTTTATTTTATATTTACGATCTTGCTTATTTGCAGAGGAATTAAAAACAATATTGGAAAATAAATTAAAAATATTTATTTAATTTGTTAACTGCATTATTTTTTAATCAAAGATCACATGATGTGGTTAAAAATCACTAAAAACGAGTTAATGTCTTGTTCACAGAAAATACGAATACGACTTAATTTATTTTTTTCGTATATACGTGACAAAATTCGTAGGAGCTAGACAAAAATTAAAGAGTAAAATTCTTTATCATAATACTATTTTACTGCAAAGTATGATATTTCTTGGAACAAAGTATAATACGTAATGCTACATTACGTGCAACGCACACATCTGGATAATGAATCTTTGCTTTCGAGCATAACTTGCGATTCCTGTGTGAAATTCATAAATACATATAAAAGAAAAGTAAAAGAACAAAGAAGATGTAGTGCTTACGTGGTGAGAATGAAAACTAAAAATGATATATCTATCTTTCCGTAGAAATGTAATTTTAAAATTTTCACGACAAGTTAATTCGTCTTGCCCAGTTAACAGATTAAAACAATCTTTAAAATTAAAATCAATTAAAATAACAATTTCACTATTATTCTACACACATAGCAGAAACATAATGCTACGGAACTTTCATTTATAGACGAAAAAGAAAAATTTTTACACAATAGATTCGCGATACCAGTAGTGTGACTTATGTCATCGTAGGTAAAACGCCTGGATAGCGACGATTAGAAAAAGAATGCTTTTATGGCAGAACGAGAAAGATTAATTCGATAGCAAAGACTCGAAGCTTTCTAACTCCTCGCCTCTATATCTCATGACAATAACTTCCTACACTACTTGTTCCCGTAGCGGTTCCATGCCTCGATTGAAAACGATCGGTCGAGTTTTATTGATCGACGGAAGTGTACAACGTATCTTAAAGAAGCGACGCGTACTAAAATTGAGAGTGGTTCTTGCGCTCTCGGCGAATGTCTTTCTTGTCCGTGAAAAATTTCTTCCCCGCTCCTTTCCTGGTGGTTTACCCGGGACGGCAGAGCCACGTCGCCATCTATACACATTACCGCAACGCTCTCTTCTTTCGCCGTGCGCGGGACGTGTGACGTAAAGTTGACAACGAGCGAAAGTCTTGTACCATCTGATTGATTCGCCGTCGCTCGATCGGCGAAGGAGCGCTAATTCTTGCGGTAGCTTTTTGTCCGCGGTTTCTGGCCACCGTTCTGTCTTACTGAGCGAAGACACGCAACCGTTCCTCGCCTGAACGCATGTAACGTTTCGCAAATAACGCGATACGAAAGGCGAATTGTGCCGTAATATAATTAGCGTAAACTCATCGAAAGACAGCAAGTGGAAAAATGTCTTCGCGACAGATTCCTAACAGAGTTGAGAAAGAAGAAGGGCTCATCCATCCTAATTCGTCCTATTCCGCACGTCTCGTCCTGCTCCATCCTTCGCACTCATCGACAACTTCAGCGTTTGCGTCACGCAACGGAGTTTTATGTTGCAGTCCATTCTTCGAAAGGATATTCGCGGAGCATCCGTGCAAGCACCCCTTAATCGTCGTGAAGGACTTCTCGCGTCACGAGGTATCCGCGTTGATCGACTTCATGTATCGCGGTGAGGTGAAGATCGCTCAGGAGGAATTACCGGCACTGATGAAGGCCGCGGAGTGCCTGCAAGTGCGCGGATTGTCATCCTCAGAGCCTAGGCCGGTGTCGGCGGGACCCAGACCGTCGTCGTCGTCGTCGACACCGACGCGCGACCTCCTCCTGAGCGAGTCACCCATGCCGGAAGCCATGCGGCATGACACGCCCGAAGAGGACGATAACGCGTTGGAGAGCACGAGGGAAATGCCGCCTATCCTGTTTCAACCAACGAGGGACCAGACGGTTGCCAAGCTGCCGCTGATCAGTCACATGAACTTCGGCATCCGGGAGAGCTGCGGCTCTCCGTTAATGGCGCGCCGAAAGCAAGCGCGTCCGCGCCGACGATCCAGCGAGTTGGTACCGCAAGATCTGAGCAGACGCTCGAGCCCGCCGGCCTGTTTGAGTCCGCTGCCGAGCGGAATTCTCAATCTCAGCGGTGGTCAGCATCAGACGCAGCAGCAGCAGCAACAACAACAGCAGCAGCAGCAGCAGCAGCAACAACAACAATTATCTCAGCATCATCAACAGCAATCTATCAATAACGCACAGAATCAACAGCAGCAGCAACAGCAGCATCTACAGGAGGACATGGCGGAAAATCTATCGATGAAGAAACCCTTGTCGCCGAGCGGAATGGATCAGCATCACGTGAAGACGGAGGGCAGCGAGGCGACGAGCAGTCCTCGCGGCTCGCCGCTTACGGGGACGAGCCTGCTGCATCCCGACGGCCCCGTGCAGGACATCGTCGCGTCGGCGGCTGTAGCGGCGGCGGTTGCCACCGTTACGCTACCGACGATGTCGACGTTGTCGTTGCCGCAGCCGCATCCACCCGAGTACCTGACAAGCCTCGGCCAGCTGGCGAGCCAATGGCTGCCCGGGCATCCGCAGAGCCAACTGCCGCCGCCGCCGCTCCAGGCGCATCATCCGCGCGAGGACAGTCCGCACGGGCCCGGCAAATCGCATCCGTATCAGCAGCAGCCGCAACAGCAGCAGCGGGATTCGCCGATGCTACCTCGGCGCAGTTCCATCGCAGCGATGTTCACGCCAACGCTGGACGGCCTCGGCGGCGGGCTCTTTCCACACACCGGCACATACGACCGAAGCAACCTTCTCACGGACTCGCTTCTCGCAGACAATTTCAAGCCGGAGGCATTGCAGAGTCTGTTCGGCACCCCGAACCTCGGTCCGCCGCCCAGCAAGAAGGCGAAGAAGCATCGAAGCGACGGCGACGCGCCGCGTAGATGGAACGATCACAACGCCCGCGCGTACGCGACGAATAGACCGAAAGGGCAGCATAGCGCGCCGCGTGGCGGTCCGCCCAGATCGTGGACGAATAATGAGCTGACGATGGCCTTGCAGCATGTTTGGGAGAAGAAATTAACCACGTCGCAGGCTAGTCGTATGTTCGGTATTCCTTATAACAGTCTGCTGATGTACGTACGCGGCAAATACGGAAAGAGTCTGAAGCTCGAACAGTTGCGGAGGGACTGTATCGGCGCCAACAACTCGGAGATCATGAACAACAACACCGTCAAGCCCGTCCAGCAATCCGCACAGATGAGCCATCCGATCCCGGGTTTACCGTTGCAGCATCCGGGCGACAACGGTGGCTTCCCCCATCGCTCTCTACTCGGCGGCAACCTGTCGCAGCCGCAGGGTTTTTACCCCGCCGACTTTGCCACCGCGCCCTTTCCCATGCCGGTAAACATGGTGCATCTCTTGCCGCCGAGCGAGCAGAAGACCTTCGAATCGTCTGCGAATCCGAGCGGAGACGGCGGTGGCGGTGGTGACGGAAGCGGCAGCAGTGGCGGTGGTGGCGACCTGGCAAATTCACAGAGCAGCGAGACACCATCGCCCATCGTCGATCATCATCATCACCACGAGTCGTCGATGCAACCACAATCGTCGCAATCGGTGCCCGCGTTGCTACAGCAAAACGGTTCCGATTAGGATTGGACTGGGATCGTTGGGCTTGACCAGTACGTTCTCGTACGTTGATGTTAGCGATGATTTATTTGTTACCTTTTCGCCCGCGAGGACAGACGACAGGATGGTCGATTGGTTCTTTGGCTGCGAACGCCGTAAACATGTCGTTCCGTCGGATCCAAGTATCGATAGTTTTACTTCGATGAAAACTGTATAAAAAGCTAATATTGAATTTCACGTAAAAACATTAAATAAGGGAAATATTATTTCTGTGGCAATGAGTTAGCAATATATGAACAGAAAGTCGAGTGTTGTTCCAGCGAACATCGTATCGCCCACGAGTAAGCGCAATCGGCTGCGTTGTTATATAATAAATCCGCGATTCGGAAGAATGTGCCGTAGTAATCGATGTCGGAAATTATTTAGAGGTATTTTGCAACTGTTTTGAATCTTTTTAAAATGTTACGCCTGATTATTGCATTCGCGGTACACGGATTAAATAGATGCAACATTTGTGTTAAAAAATTGATTTTTCTTAATTAAAAAGAATTTGATTGTTTAATTTCAGACTTAGAATTAGATTTAATTTTCAAAATTATTAGGTACAATAAAAAAAAAATTGAAAAACTAAGAAAAATTAAAAAAAATTAAAAATTAAACGTTTTTTATAAAAATTAATTGATAAATAATTTAATTAATTAACATATGCATTTTTACATGTAGTTTAACGTAATTGTCGACACGTTTGCTTAAATAAGTTTGCTGAAACGGGAACTTAACTAATACAAGTTTATACGCGCTTATAATTTTATCGAAATTGTAAAAAACCATTAAAAACATAAAATGTTAGACTTGATGCGGTTAAAGAGACGCGATCCTGTGGCAACTATCTTAGCAGACACTCGCAAGATTGAGTTTCGACAAGTTAGAGAGGACTCAAATTGCGTGATTGATGGGACGAAAAAACAACAAAATTTGATTAAAATTCGAAAAATATTTTGCGTGTTAAATATATACACATTCACATCGAAAGTCGACAACAATTAATAATTATCCATATTTTTAGCAATTAATTTTTTATTATATAATTTGTAAAATTTAAAGATATTATAATTTTGTATTAATTAATACGGTAAGACAAATCTTAAAAGACAAACGATGGCAGAGAAGAAGTCAATAAGAAGCACGATTGTCTGAGTGCAAGAACTATTAACTCTTATCAATTAATACACAAAGAACATTTCAGCTGCAATTTTGAATTATCTTCAGTTTGAGAAAATATAAAAACGATCAAAATAATTACTGAGACAAAGATTTGACTCAGCGATCGCAGTAACGAACCGTACATGTCAGAGCAAATAAGTGCTTGCGTTCCGACAATCGCGCTTCTGGTTCTTATTGCCTTCTTTGTCATTGCTTATAATTTTATTATAATATTATAACATGATTATGATACATCTGCCTTTATAAAAGTATAGAAATTTTAGTTGGCGTAACGAAATGATTATTTTTAAGTAAAATTAAATTTCTTTAATTTTAAATTTAAGTTACTAAATTTCTAGGACTATCATCTGCTATTGCTTACTTCTTGCCACACAGTGTGTCTTGCCATAATATTTCTCTCAATCGATTGAATTTTCTTATCTTTGTAGTAGCTCAGTATTGAGTTTTATCGGTGATATTGCGATGTAAACTCAAAGTGAAACTATCGATACTGTCAATCTGACGCGGATGCAACAATACGTCTAGCTAAAATTGAGAGTTCCACCTATCGAATGGATATGTTGAGAGAATAATTTTACGTGTCGCGGCCAAAGGGTTAATTATGCGATAATTAATTAAGCGACTCCCTTCGTGAAGCTCCTCGTCGCAGGTGTGCAAGTTATATAGATTTACAAGCACGCGATTCTCCATGAGACACTATCCTTCAAAAGACTGACTTTTACCAACCGACTCGCAGCTCTCCCAGGGTACACTCTCGATAAACATCCACGAGCTTTTGCTCAAAATCCATGCTTAAGCGCCGTTAACTGCTCTCCGCTCGTTTCTGTGCTTGCCACTTGGGTCGCTGTGTCTTTCTTCCGCCGATAATTACATTGGGCTAGATATACACATCTGATTTATATCAGGATGATTTTTTTTAGATCGAGAACAATAGTGTCTTCACGGGAGACACAAGAGAGCGAAAATTAATTCTGAATAAATGTCATCCATTCGATAATTTTGCTCTCTGAAGGTGGTTCTGAATAAAATATATCTCAAATGAATATAAAATTGGAGGTAAATATAGGAGCTTTTTTCATAAAAAAATTGAGTCCTGATATAAAAATTTTCGAATGTATGTCGCGCCCTTTCGAATGTATATCTGTGGAACGTTTAGACGCAGTCAAGCTCGCCGGCGATACCGAAGACCGTCGTCTTGTTTCGCGCGCTGTTTACAATTACAGATTTTTTTTCGGGGAAGACATTGCGAAAATCGTTGGGTCTTTTCGCGCGAACGATACGACATCGAGAATATTGCCGGCGCGATCGAGAAGGCTCTCGCATCTCTGCTACGAAATAGTTCCTGCTGCAAAAGCGATTACATACCAAATAGTATTGCAAACGGCTGAACGAAGTATGATGCTGCATAGACTTACGATCGTTGGGAAAGCTCGCATAATTCATTGTCAATACAGACGTCTCGAATGGAAAGTGACAATCGTTTCGATGTTAATTAACGACAAATAATGAGATTTAAAATAAGATAAAATAAAACTTTTTCAAAAATTGAACGATTAATTAACGACTGTCAAGAAGCTCGTTTTAATTTGCTTTAATAAATCTAATCATTAATCGTAAAGTTTTTCAAGTATTTCAATTTTTCTTTGTGATTTGATAAATTTAATGATATTAGAGACTATTAGTTTTTTTATATTTACGTTTTTTATTGTAATATTTTTATTAGAATATTTATTATATTTATTCAAAATTTGTAAATTTTTTTATAGAGTCTAATTTCCATAGTTTTGGCTTATAATGTCGTAATAAATTCTGAATTAATAAAAATTTTCACAGAGATGACAAAAATTCGCAAACTTTAATTTGCAAAATATGAAATTAATCGAACCTATTGTTAACGAAACTAAATTTTTGTCTGGTATTTTTATATTGAATGCTATTAAATTATAATTATGTATATTTATATATAAAATTAATATTTAAATTATTTCTATTTTTTAATTTAGAACACGAAATGCGTTTGAATTGAATTTCTCAAACGCACGTGAATAAAATGGTAGGAATAGCATTGATATGAAATTGGTCGTCACTTTCATGCGAATCGTCTGTATATATATTATTTTTTTTTTTTTTTTTATATATAATCAACCATCTTATCGAGTTATGCGACGGTCGTGGATTACGCGATAACAGCGAACTTGCCAAGATTTCCCGTTTGCCAATCCCCGAAAACCTGATTCGCCGTCAACGCGGTTGCTCCGGTTGCGCATAATTTTTAGGGTACTAATACAATACTATCCGTGAATGACATGTTATGCCTGTAAATAATATTTTTACTTGTTGACTGTTTTATCTGGCTCGCTGCAGAATCCTTCTGTTTTCCCTTTCCGCGATGTGTTTTAGCGCGTTTTTAAGAATCCGACAAATAATACACAATTAATATCGAGCAGAATAAAGAATCGCACAATCTGTCGGTACGCGAACGACTATCTCTGGCTAACTCGTTGCGAACTGATAATTCGACGAGGAACGACGCAAGCGTGCGCGATCGTCGATCTTGGCGGACTGTTTTTTTTTTTTTTTTTTTTCCAAAGGAAATTAAGAATTGCCAGCAGCATAATTTTGGAGAGTTCAATTCTCGATGACGTGGATACGGAAAAATGTTTTCGTGTTCGTAGCATCAAAGGCTGGACTCGCAGGAATTGCGCTGATTCGAAAGCAAGAAAGCAAAAAAGGTGGATGAAGGTAAAAATACGAAATAAATGATGAACTTTTAATCGTAGACCACAATTTCACAACAATATTTCGACAACCAGACGGAAGCGCAGGGTAACTAACACATCAGGGATAGCCACAGACAAATCTACGATAGATAAAGAAAATGCTACATATTAAACTGTAAAGGTAATGGTAAATTACATAAAGTTATAATAACTAACGATACGATTATTTCGTTAAAGAGATTAAGAAAAAAAAAGAAAGGAAGATGAGGAAAAGTGAAACAAAAAGTGGCGAGGAATGGCACAGATAAGAATGATATGATAGGATCCGTTATGTCACACTCCTTGCTACTCCTAGAAAGAAATAGGGTAAGATATATTATGAGAAAATAATAATAATTATAATAATGATAGCGACGTAAGTAGAACGCAAACAACGGAGGGAGCGCATGGATGCGACATGGGGTTTGAAATAAATATTAGAGAGACCACAGACTTTCGGCCCCCATCCCTAAAACAGCCTGTACAATACAAACTGATATTATTATTGATTATTAATACTATATATATATATATATATATTATATATATACAGGGTGTTTTAAAAGAGTTTATAACTGCTCCAGCGGGCTGTACCGTCGCGTTGGAGTTGTTCGTTTCTACAAAACTCAGCACTACATTACATTATATATTATTTTCAACGATTGAAAATATTTATTTTGAAATCTTATTTTGGCCATTAATTTGCAAAAATTGATTTAAAAATTAACAGAATTTATATTAAATCACATTTTAGATAACAAGCTTTAGAATTTGTCTAATTTTTTAATTGTTATATATTAATATTTGTTATTTATTTTTTCTTATTCCGTCGTACTTGAAATAATTTTCTACTTAATCAGAAAATTAGGTGTAAAGTTTTGTTTTAACAACTAATATAGAACACCGTGAAACGACATTGAGGCAACGGACGTTCAAGATGGTACAGCCACGTTGAAAATGGTTTTAACAATTTTTTATCCACTCTGTTGACGAGGGAAAGAATGAGAAACAGAGATGTAGAAGGAGGAGCTATGTTTTAACTGTATCGAATCGCGCAGACAATGACTGTTTGTATGCGTGTGGGAGTGCGTGCGAGAGGTACATATATATTATATATAGACATATGTGATAGGCACCATGTGCAGACTTCAGTATTATGTTGCAATTAACAAGAAAAAAAAAAAGAAACGATCGGTACGTTAGTTAGATACCTGAACTCTCGCGCCTGTTTCGTTGTTCGTAGGCATCCCTTTAGGAGAATGAACATGAGAGAACTTTCACCCTCGATCGCGATGTTTATCGTCTCTCGCTTCTCTCGCGAGAGGCGACGCGCAGAGCTTTAAAGGAAGGAGAAGATAAGGAGAAAAAGAAGAAGGATTGAAGGCAAGTGTTTCGTTGCGTGGCAGGAAATCCGAATGTGCGTGAAAGAAAGAGAGAATGAGAGAGAGAGAGAAAGAGAGAGAGAGAGAGAGAAAGTGACATACACAGGCATACAAGTCAGAGGAAAAAAGGAGCATTATTACTGTCGTATAGGGTGCGAATAGAGAGACGCGTATCGATTGGTTACTTTCTTATCGCGAAGGAATATTACACCATCGCAAGTAACACACGTTAGTTGA